ATTTAAGACACTATGGACATACGAGAATACATATGTACGTGCATTTTTCTATTAAAATCATCCCGATATATCTAAATATGAGTTTTGAGCAGTCCGCCTTTTTATTACAGTATCATAGAATGTAATATTTCTCTCTCTCTCTCTCTCTCTCTCTCTCTCTCTCTCTCTCTCTCTCTCTCTCTCTCTCGTTGGAGAAGTAATCGTGACGTCTAGTCAAAATATCAAGTTTCTTAACAAGATGTGGGATTATTAATTCGATGTCATGGAATTTCTTGAAGCAGGTCTGCTGGAATTGCCGGTTCCAGTTTTTTTCTCTACGCTGAAAAGATATCATAACTTTTATTAAACATTGTTATATTTGAATTTTTTAAATAATAAATTCTTTTGTCTATTTTTATGCATATTAAATAATTTGCAATTTTTTGGTGTACCTGCTGCTTCTTGAACCTCTTTTGAACATGGCTGTTAATTTCTTCTTTAGATTCTTCTTTTCCAACTTAAGGGTTTCGTTGATGCTGGTTTCAGAACCAGATGTCTGTCAAGTATTCGATCATTTTAATAAATAATGTTCTATTTGCGTAAAAATAATTTCGAATATTTAAATATCTTCTTGCCTGAAGCGAGTAGTCGGTCATGTTCGGGTCATCGACGCTAGACGATTTAGTTAACTTATGTGTTAATTTTCGTATTATGCCCTTGCCGTATTTCTTGTCCCGATCTAACATTTCGCTCTTTGTCGACCCTCCGGAAAGGCGACTAAATATAATAATTATCAAATATATTTACATTACCGGTATTGTGTATATTTCAAAATCATGTAATGTTACGAATAATATTTCGATACCTATCTACACTGGAATCTCTCTGTCGACTAGTTCCGCGAGATTCGACTTCTGATCCCTCTAATGATTGCATGCTCGACAAGTTGCTATCCGTGCCCCAAATTCCTGCAGACTATTTTTTATACACAAAAATTAGCGATTTAGAAAAGAAGAAAATATTATAATTCTTTCTTATAATATTTTCAGATTGTAAAAATTATATCTTTTTGAGATCGAATTTCATACAGAGAACAAGAGAAGTAAACATTTGGCATAAAATCTTATCTCAGAAAATTATTTCTTATATTTCACAGAGAAATTTTCTATATAATAAACATCCTCTTTACCTCCTGGTGCCCAGACGTTTGTTCCAAAGAAAGACTCTTTCTTTTCAAACGTGGTTTACCGCGATTTAACACCACTCCTTTTCCTGGATCACTTTCTACTGATGTTGCTCTAAAACATAATATTTTTCATATTCTGAATAGTTTGGCAAGAAATTAGACTGATTATAAATCGCTCACCTCTTCCCCAATTTCTTCAACCGCATTGCGTTCGTTTCATCTGTCGTCTTCTTTGATTCCTTAAGTTCTTTCGCCACGCTCATTAATTTTTTAATAGTATATTCTAATTTTTCTGTTCTTTCGCCAAGTATTGGAGTTACAGCTACAAACGGTTTAAAACAACATTAACAGTAAATTATTTATATGTACAAAAATTAATTAAGTCTTTATTTCAAAATACCTTTGACATCGCTTTTTGTCTCTAACATTGGTGATGACTCCCTGGATTTTGGTCCCTACGAATAATTATACATTTTTAAAAAGTTTTTAAAGCATTTGTAATTTTGGATTATATGTTAATAAGTAACATGTTTCATAACCTATTATATATGAATAGATACTTATTTTTTATACCTTCAATCGTCTCGGTGGTGTTGGCGTGTATATATCAGATTTTCCGTTCTCCGTTACGGTATTTAATTCAGGAAATAGCTGTAACAAATCTTGTACTTGTTGCATAAGAATATTAATGTTCCGCAATTCAGTTTGCTCCAATTTGCATTTATTTAATATAACTTCTTTGAGTTCTTGCCTCTCCTTCTCGTGCCGCTCTTTTTCACGTCTCATTTTTTCGTTGCTCGTTCTTAACTTCGCATGTGCGTCCCGCAGCTCAAGTAGGTCGCATTGCAACTAAAATTGATTGATACGATTTATGAATGAAAAAAAGAAAATTATCAATCTTTCAACGATTATATTTTCAGAGCACACTTATACAAATATTTAATAATTAAATACCTCCGATAATTTTTTCTTATTTTCATCCTTCTCTTCGTCAAACACTTTCTTTAACTGATCCTGTCTCCTTTTGTTTTCAAGCCGTTCTTTGCTACGTTCTCTTTCTATCTGCAAAAATAACGCTCGTAAAGTTGTAAAAAGTCTTAATTGACTATGTCATCTTATTTATATACTAAATTACTAATCAATACCTCGAATAATGTTTGTCGCAGATCTCGCGCTAACGTTGCCGTTTCTTGCAGTAATCTTTGATGTTCTTCTCTCTCTTTTTGCCAAGCCAACTCCATACGCACTTTCAATCCTGGAATCTTCGAGCGTCCGCTGGTGAGCAATCGTTCCTCTTCCAACTACAATCATAATGAATCAATAATGATATATATATATTTGGAAATGTATTATTTACTGTTTTATCACCAATAAATCTAATTTATAATTGCCTCGTTAATTCGGGATTGCAATTCAGAGACTTTAACGTGACTAGCTGATTTTTCCGAAACTAATTCAGCCTTTAGTCTGGAAGCTTCTAGTTTTGTCTCAGAAAGTTCGTCTTCCATACAACTGATTTGTTTTTCTAGAACTAAGATGTTAGCTTTCGATGATTCTTCATCCTATAATAACAGGAAAATATATTTTTCCTAATAGAAAAAGAATTAATAGTAAAAAAAGGATAAAACACAGTTTGAAAATATTTCCAAAGATGATTTGTTAAAATCTTCAAAATCTTTAAAATTGATTTAAAATAGATTTAAAAATATATTGATGTAATAGTATCAAAGCCATTTGAAAATATATTATTATAATAATTTACCTCATCGGATTTTCCCGAAGATGCATTAGAGAGTCTACCTTGTCTCGTAGATTTTAGCTCGCCTATAGTTTTTTGCGCGCCTTCTAACATATGCTTGTAAGTATCACGTTCGCGCTTGTATCGTGATAATTGATTCTGGATTGCCTGTATCTCATCGTTGATCGCCGTAATTCTATGCTCATAGCGCATTTTACACTGCGCCAGATCTGCCTTTTTAGCCTTCTCTGTGTTTGTCAAAGCATTCTTTAATTTTCGAATTTCTGACTCCAATGCTGTGGTGTCAGGTGTCAATGCTTGATGAATCTTGGAAACTGCCTGATAATCTTTCAGTTTTGTAGACAAATCGTCATTCTGTAAATTAAAATAATCAAAATTATATTTTTTACATGAGAATAATATTAAATATTTAATAATATAAAATATTTAAATAAATTTGGAAATTAGTCAAGATAATGTATAAACCAAACAAGTAGATAATAAACATTGATGTTTGGTATATCTCGGAACAGCAAAATTAAACATAAATAATAGATATTACTTACTATCTTTCTTACATCCTCCAATCGTTCCAATAAAGTGGCATTCTCTTTCTTCAATGTATTAATTTCGTCGTTTAACTCTTCTACAATAACTTTGTTCGGCAATTGAGTATCACGAATTTGACCCTAAAAATACGAGTATAACTTAATGGTAATAAGATTTTTCAAATTGAAATTTCTAATAATTGTATGATGAAATCTCTATACCTCAAGAGCAGATTTCTCTAATCGCCACTCACTCTCTTTCGTTCTTATCAAATTACGCAACTCTTCAAGTTCGGTTTGTATATTTTTTAAGTCTCTCTTATGTTCCGAACATTTGCTATAATAAAACGTAAGATTAAATGAAGAAAGTTATATCAGGCATTTAATATTGTTGGCAATGAATTCTTACTCCTCACACCGTTAGTGTCGAATTGCTGTTTACCTATTCAAAGATTCATTCTCCCTTTCAATCTGCAGCTTTGAATTCGTAAGCTCTTGATATTGTTTCGTAAGAGTTTCTTGCTCGTGTTGATGTTTCTTAATCTCATTCTCGAGATCTGAAAATTTTGTCACGTTAAATCCATAATACATTTGAGAAATAAATTGTATCTTGCAATACTGTACTTAATATTTTTTCATCGTAAGTTTCTTTCATCTCGTTCATGCGTTTTGTATTTTGCCCAGCTTTTTCTAAGGAAGTTATTTTTTTCTTAAGTACTGCTACTTCGGTTTCCTTCGTTTTTCTCTCGCTATTAAGTTGCGATGTTAATTTCTCTCTCTCTTGCTTAACTTCTGTAAGCTCTGCAGTTAGATCGGTGATCTTCGTTGATGTCGTAGACTTTGTACTTTCTAATTCCTTTTTCAAACGTTTTACCTCAAAATCAAGCTTAGCTTTCATCTGTTCAACCTATTTTAATCGAAAGAAATAATATGAATCGCAAGATAGATTATTAATTTATTCAGTAAATAATGTGTTTCTTGCTAGAATAAAAATGATATTTACAGATGTTATCGATTGCGACATTTTTAATTCCCTTTCGGTGTACGATGACAAATCATCTTGTAGCCTTTTACACTTTTCTTGTTCCAGCGAAAGTTTTTCTGTTATTTCATTTATCGTTGTCTCCATCGTTGCTGTATCTTTTTCTGACGTTTTAGCTGTTTCTGTAATATAATGAAAGTCGTATTATATATTTATCAATATAATTTTCTAATAATATTTGGATATATATTAAAAATATGCAAGATTAGTTAAAAAATTGTAATTTTAAAATTATATTAAATATAAAGCGCAAGTTTTACCGAGATCTTTCTTTAGTTGTACAACCTCGTTATAAATTTTTAATTTTTCGGATGATAGCGATAATAATTTAGATTTCAATTTCTCCTTTTCTTCTGAAAGTGCCAGTTTTTCTTTATCCCAGGCTTTTCTTTCAGCTTCTCGTAAAGTAACTACTTCGTCCAACTTTCTCTTCACTGTAACAAGATTTACAATTTAAGTATGTCTAATCTTACTGTTGTTAATGCAGAATTCGTGTCTTTTCTACCATTTTGTAAATCCACATTTTTGGTATCTTCTACTTTTACATTTGGCTGAACTTTTTTCTTCTCTTTTTCGCTAGTCAGTTCTTTTACAGCAGATTCAAATTTTTCTTTAAGCAATTCATATTCTTTTACAAGTTTATCATACTGTACAGTATTATTATCTTTCGAGTTTACATCCGGTATGTCAACGTTATGTCCATTTTTAATATTGGTAAAGATATTTAGCATGTCCTCTAAAACAATTAGAATTTTAACAATTTAAATGAGATATTTGATTTTTACGAAATTTATAAAAATACAATGATCATTCATCAACCTATTTCTTTCTCCACTTCGTCAACCATCTTTTTAAGTTGCAATTTTGTTGTGGATTCTGTCGGTTTCTTTTGCGTTCTGTTCTGGAATGCACTGCTTACTTTTTGCAAAATCTCTTCTGTTTTTTTTACCTAATAAATTATAAGTAAATAGGAAGATTTAATATGTAATATAATTTTGCACTTAATGAATATGAATTATATAGAACGACAATTATTTGACTATATTGTATGCTATTAAAATTTAATAAGAAAGAAATTTTTTATTTGTAATTATACATTTACCTCTTCATATTTCTTCTCTAAAGCTGACCGATCATTTTCTAATTCTTCGGCTTTGCGTTCTACTTTTCGCAATTTGAATGACAATATTCGGCAATTTTTGTTCGATTGCTCCAAACTTTTTCGTAAACGAGTATACTCATCTGCTTGTTCATCCCTTATATGCGAAAATTATATCCGTATAAAGAACACATATTGCATCGCGACACAATGTAACCATTTATAGATTTGTCGCAGATTTTATCACGTTTGAGTATCTCTGTTCCTCATAAAGACGTTCTACGACGAAAGAAATTCTACACAAAATTTGCGAGGGAAAAGCGGTATGATATTCCATGTATTAATCTCTTTCAAAAAATTCTCAAATCTTATAAAATTTTAACGTGAATTTTCTCATAGTCTCTCCGCTAGACTTCTCTTCCGAGGGGATATAATCACAAAAAGTAAATGTGATCCCATAAAAGTGAAAATATATAAAAAAGTTCATGGATTTTATTTTATGGATATGATCACGGTTGTTAAATAAAGATTCAACAAGTGCCATCCGTATTAAAGAAGGGATATATACTTCTCAAATCTGTCCAAATCATTGTCCTGCAACAATCCATATATAGCTCATTTTGCAAAAGATTGTGATCTCTTTTGAAACTTATGATTTCTGACATACACAACAGATTTTCAGGTTTTTTTTATATAAAACGGTTTAACTTCGCATACGTGTTGCATTGCCATATGCGTAAAGATCCTGAATAAATCTTTTAGACATAAAAAAGTTTTTTCGCAAAAATTGAAATGCAATAATAATTTATTGAAAGGAACAGAGATACACTGATTTTGATAGACATGTAATATTAAAAATGCAATATTAAAAAGTCATAGAATTAATTATTTTATATAAATAATGGCGAGTCGTATTTCGCAAATTTTTTAATAATGATATAAATCTATTAGTATATTTAATTATAATTTTTCTTCATAATATTAATAACTATACCAAAAATTGCCGTTGTTATCAATTTTAAAACAAAAAGCCATTTGAAATAAATAATATATAAGACAAAATGTTATCATATATAATTTTATTAAGCATAAAATTATATAAAGAGTTATATTTTTGAAAAACTACAGTAAGTAAGTAGCATGCATAATATTATTGCAGGATCTCAATAGAATATAATAGAATATTTCATAGTATCCTTTATGCAAGAAAATATAGTACCTAAAATTATCTTGCAACTCATAGATTTCTTCTTCTAACTGTCTGATTTCCTTTTTCATATCCTCATTTTCATCCATTAAACTTTCGCAAAGATTTTCTGCGGCTTTCAGTTTCGAACGTAATTCGTCATGAGTTTTGTCCTTCTCACCTCTGTACGGTTTACTAATTGTTTCTTTTTCCAAACTTCTTATCTTTGCTAACAATACATTTTTCTCTTGCACAAGTGCTAAAACACGCATGTGATATTACATTACGTATTACATATACACAGGAATTTAAAAGAAATTCTTTAAGTGATGACAATGCGATGAAAGAGCATAATATAATACAGAGAATTTTTTTATAAAAATTTTCTATTGCATTTTCTATAAACTTCAAAAATTAATACCTTCATTTTTCTTTTGTAGTTTTGTCACTTCGCTTGTCGATGTTTTGTTCGACATTGTCTCCATGGTCGTCAATCGACGCAGTAATATTTCGCTTTTTTCTTTCTCTGCCTTCTCACATCTTGCTCTCATATCATTTAACTGAGATCTTAATTTTTCTATTTCATTCTGTGAGGAGTAAATATGTTAATTGACACTTATCATCAAGATACGCTGTTCATATATTTAATCTTCGCTTAATCCTCTCAATTCTGACACTCGTAAATAACATAGAAATTGTGACTATACAAATAATGTTGCGCTTAAATAATTTAATACACTTTTAAATGTATTGTTGCATGTATGCAACATTTTTTCTAAAAGTCAGATCTGAGAGATTCAAATACTCATAATATATAGATGCATTATCATATATACATATATAAGACAAATATCAAAATCTTTTTGATAGGAACTTTTCTTTAAATTATACATATACAGGCGTAACATCGATCTACATACAGTTAATATCTGAACAAGTTAATTAACATTTAGACAAAATGCATTTAATGATAGTTTTGAAGTATAGTATCGCGAAAATGCTTTATAATTCACGATGTACGACATTATGAATTTGGTATATCAAATGCGTAAACAATGGCATCACACAACGATACGATGGGCGATATATATATGATATTAATCGCAAGTATTAATCCCAAGATTTTCCTTGCTATATCGAAAGCGACGATCGGCTCACCTCCTTGATATCTTCTCTCTTTACCATAACATTATCCGGCCCGTCCTGGACCACCTGTTTTGACGGTGCTGATCGTGATTTCCTTACCTAAAGTAGTGTTGACAAATGAGAGTGCAAAAGAGAATTTCACATTTGTTCTCACTCTTTTATCATTGAATGTCGCTATGCTACCGTCTGCTGTACATACAACTACAAGGCGCCTTTGTATAAAGAAGACGTTTATAAGCGTTTGTATGTGCGTGTTTGTATGCAGTGTATGTTTTATTTGACATAAAGCATTCCATGCCACTAGTGGGTTAGTTAACGAAGGAATACCTGAATAATAAATTCGACGTCGTTTTCCGAAGTGCCACTCTTACTGTTGCTTATCACATTTTTTATTTGAAGCTTCGCCGGTTTTCTAACATCTGCATCGCCACGTAGATTTATGCAACCATAAATTAGGATGATAAGATTTAAGAGAAAAAAAAGAAGATCTGACATTAATTATTAATTCCAATATTAATTTGACGTTTAATCTGTCTCAGTACTTCGCTTTTATTACTTTCTAATTTAGGAGCGTCTTCTGGATTCTTATCTATAGCGGAAAGATCCATCAGCGATGTCCATCCAGCTGACGCCGGCGGTTGCAAATGATCATTCTTGGTTTCGTCTTTCGCCAAATTCGTAGCGGAAGACCATATCCTTTTGTTCTCGGGTCCGCTTTAAAATTCATTCACAACAACAATCAATTTTTCTATAATATTCACAGTTCTTCAAAACAATTAACGTATCATTATTGCTATATTATTTTGCAGATATTTTATTAACTTATGCTAACAGTAAAGGCGTGTTATAATAATGATATTTTATGCAATTTATAATTAGTAGGCGAAAGGACCTACCGTGTAGAATCTGAGGAAAGACTGGGGGACGAAGAAGTGATGTCTCCGAGACTATTTCTTCTGCCGCCATGCTCTTTGTAATCTCTGAAGAGATATTATTATTAATTCGAAATGCGCATTTTGTATATTGTTTCTTAGCTTCTGCTTTAAATAATTACCTAAAACATCGTTTGCAACGTGTTGGCCATCGAACCTGCGGGTGGAAACCCAAAGGGCAAAGAGGATCACCTTTTTTAGATGAATACATGGAGTGCATCCTGTGTGCAAGTTATTTTTTTCCAGTTATATTTTCTTATAATATCTCGAAATAAAATAAATTTATATAAAGTGTAATTGAAAAAGCAAAGATAGATCCAATTGTTCGTTCTAACGGAAATAATATTTACATTGATTTTTTAAAATTCTCAAAACAGCTAACATAAATATTGCCATTTAAAAATATTATCGATAATATAATATTTCAAATTTCTAAATATATTTGTTGATATTATTTAATTTAAAGAGAGACTCATGTAGAAAGCATGAAAAGATTTACATAAAGATTACAGATAAAAGTGAAATCACGTTTTAACTTTGCAAGATCTTTTTCAATTTGTGATTATATACATTTCCATAATTATACATTTCCATAATTTATTTTTTTCTTAGTTGCATGATATTGCTGGTATACTTTATACAATTGTATAATGATTTTCTCCTTTCATAAATACGAAAAAAAAAAAAACAGATAATTTGATGGAAATTTAAAATCAATCAGTGCAAAATATACTTGTCTGGAAGAAGAAACCTGTATTTCATTAAATTGTTAAAAAGTTATTGGCCAATTTTACATCTATCGATGAATTTATCATTATCGGTGAACTTAAAGAAGCTCGCAAAACTATAAAAAAAAGACTATGTGTGTTTAATCACTTAATTTCAAGTAACTTGTCTTTAAAAAAAAATTCATAATTGTAGTGAAAAAAAAATTATAACCAGTATAATACATTTCAGAATGCCTTTACTTATGCTGTTAATAACGTCAGCAAAGTCACTGTTGCATGAGTATAAATTTAAATTCCTATTTAATGAATCATTTGATCGTGAAATCTGTAAAGAACATTTAATAATCCACATGAAACCAAAAAATAGAAAGAAAAGAACAATAAAACTTGTTTAAATTATTTATAAGAATTGGAATATTTTTCAGAAATTTTCGGAAATATTCGGAAAGTTACACCTTCTCTCAGAACTTCTCATACAAGTGAATTCTAAAATATTCTGAATTTCTCATCCCACAATTTTTAAAAAGTATTTAAAAATTTTTTTAGATTTTGTAACATTTCATCAGAAATTACACTTACAAAAAAATCTTAAAAATCTTACGATATTTATAATTAACATATATGAACAATTTTGAGAAAAAAATAGATTTTCTGAGAAATGTTCCAATGCGTATAAAAAAATGTGAGAAAGTTATAAAATTATAGGGAAATTCCGAAAAATTATATAAAAGTTCTAAAAAACTAAAAAATGAAAAATTCTGAGAAAAATTTTCACCAGGAAAAACTTGAGTTCTATCAGTGAATTTGTCATCAGCGAACATTCACGAGCTGCATTATCGTCTTTATTATACATATTTCTGACAATACGCACAGGCACACATACATACGCACACACGCGTAACAAGCATGGCACTTGGAGAACTATGCGCACCGGCGCGGCGCGGCGGTTTATTTATAAAATTTCAATGCCACGCTGTCTCTTTCCCTTTTTTTACTTATCTTTTACCTACATAAAACGGGAATCAGAGGAGCTTAAAGAAACATGAGGGATAGATTTATTCGCGTTCTCCATTTGATCGCGATGTCTATCTCTCGACGATTTATCTCTTACGCAATCTATCGGTTTTTATATGCCTGCTACTCACTTAATCGGTACCGATATTAATCCAAATCACGGCGGGCCGACGTGAATTAAATTTATCCTAGGCTGTTGTCGGTCAGTCAATCGGTCGTTGCTCGGTCAGAAACGGGCATTCGTCGCGGCGCTCGTCGTCTCTTCCATTCTGAATGAATACGGTAATCCCATCGTAATCGCGTAATCGAATAGCACTCGCATCGTAAAGGGGGGAGGGAGGAGGGGGGGGTAGTTTTTTCTCGCGATCTCGTCTTTCTCCGGAAGTCGATTTGTCTCTATAGTATCTATACGCGAATCTCGCTCATTTTTTCTATTTTTTCTTCTTCTCTTATATGCGTCCGCGTTAGAGATTCCTACACTGCGCGCGACGTCACTAATAGCACTGACACAGCTCCGCTATTACGGGGTTTGTCCGTTTTTCCCGTAGACTGTGTGCGGGTATACGGGCGATTGGACCTACGCCAAGGTGTATATTTGTCTCTAGCTATAAATATAGGGAAGCGCGAAGACATCTTGAGTGTTGCATGCGCGAAGCAAAGTAGCTTCGTCTTCATTCATTTTTGTCTCAAATGCACGAACGGAAGTAAAATCGCGCGATCGAGCTTAAAAAATGACTATATCCATGAGATAGGCATCTTTCATCTTTATATTAGAAAATGTCACAGTGGATATTCCCTCAAAGCTTTATATTTCGAACGTCTTCGTCAAGAACGCGATTTATAGCGATAGGTTTATATTATATTTATGCATTTTTCATTTTGTGATTGTGCAAAATTAAGGTGCTTAAAACCTAATTTGTTAATATATTAATCAAGAAAATTATATTAATCTAAGAAAGATTATTTAATCACAAGCTATGGTGAATAAAATAAACATTCGTGATAAATATGCGGAATGCGAGAGACGCATAGCGAAAAAATTGAAATATGTATTATAAAATTGATAGGTATTAAAAAAAAAAGGATTAATTATTTTTATTAACTTTTATTAATACACCAAATATTTCACCCATCTCCATCACACAGTATAAAATTGTATAAACGTAATATATATTTATGTGTATATAATACATTTATAATACATCATAAGCGATTAACTTGTCGAACGCAATATTTTAATTTTGCATTATCAAGTTATCTATCCAACTTTGTTAAATGATTTATTCTTATCAATCATTAAGAAACGCATTGCACATTATTAGAATTTAACTTTTTTCCAAGGTAAATAATTCGAAGTTTTGAAACTTTATATTTATGCTTATGTTGCCTAATATTATTTTCATAGAAATGTGTAATTGTAAATATCAAGTTTTTATATATTTTTCCTCATTTTCATATAAAAATGTTTTAATTCCTATGTATAAAAAAACATTGCTTTGTTTTTCTATAATTCTAATAACAAGAATCCTTAACATGATTATGGAATGTCTAATAAAAAGGATAATTTCTTCAATGAAAAATGAAGATAAATTACTTACTTCATTTTAATATAGATCTTGAATTTTTGGAATAATTAATTTTTATATCTGTTATTTTTATTTACAGTATAACTGTATTTATTATATCTTTTTATAGAAATATTTAAATTTCAAAATTTTTAATTTAATATTTAAATTTTTTCATATATCTATATTTCAATTCTTTGTGTGTGTGTGTGTGTGTGTGTGTGTGTGTG